CGCCTGCGTCTCGCGCGCAGCTCTTTTCTTCCAGAGTAGCGCGCGCGCGCGCGAGCTGGATGCGTCCCCCCCTCCTTTCTCGCAGCTACGCGCAGACGCGCACGCGCAGACACCGGCCGCGCGAGCCGCAACAGCGCTCTCTCGGAGCGCATTCGGTCCGAGGAGGCTGCGAAGTCCCTCGCGGAGAGAGAGAGAGAGAGAGAGAGAGTCTTTGGCTGGGATTATTTCGTTCTCTCTCTCGCTCGCTTCCTTCCCCACCGGGCGTAACGCCCTCCCTAGCCCGGAGAGAACCGAGCGAATAGAGGGCGGTGTTTTCTTTTCCATTTCGAGGGGAGGAAAGCAGCAGCCGAGACGGTGTGGAAATGCGAATCCTCCGGCGCTGGCTGCTCGCGTCCCTGCCGCTCTTCTTCTGCCTCTGCCGACTCGGTGAGTGTTTGTGGCGCGCGAGGGAGGCAACTTCGCCCGGCGTCGCCTCGCCTCCAGCCTCACGGGCCCGGGGGCGGGAGGTCCCCTCTCTCGAAACGGGGGGTCTGCCATTCCCCTCGCTCCCAAACTTGAGGAAGACTTCTCGGGATGTGCGCGGAGCCTGACGCGCAGGGGCAGCCATTCCGTCGCGTGTGTGTGGAAGGGAGGGAGAGCCCCTGAGGGAAGAAGAGGAGGAAGAAAGAATAAGAAGCACCTGCTGTTTCCCCAGGGTCTCTCATGAGGGAAGCTCGGGCCGGCCTGAACCAACTCCGAGGGACCGAGGTCCCTTCAGAACCCCCCCCTAAAATATTTGAGCTCCCCCAAATTGATGGCCATCGCCATTCGAATGGGGTGCATGCTCCGATTCTTGCGATCGATTATGTGGGGCGGGGCTTCACCCCTCTTATGTTATTCAGGTTGGCACCCTCCCCTAAATGCCATGTCCTAGGGGCTGAGGGATCTCCCCCCCTTCCAATAAAATATTTTAGGGGGCCGCTCCCCCCCCCCGTTGATGGGCATTGCCATTGTGTGCGTGCACCGGATCGATTGTGTGGGACGGGGCTTACCCATAGGCGTAGCCAAGGGGGGAGCAAAGAGGGGCAGCTGCCCCCTCCCATAATAATGCATAGCAAACTGAGGTTCTGCCCCCCATATCAAAAATCCTGGCTATGTCCATGGGCTTACCCCCCAATATTTTATTCAAGTTGGCACCCTCCCGTAGAAGCCAACTTGTAGGGGCTAAGGGATCTTTGCCCCCCTCCCAGTAAATATTTGAGGGGGCCAATTCAAATGCCGATTTGATTATGTGGAGCAGGGCTTGCCCATGGGCGTAACCAATGGGGGCAAAGAGGGGCAGCTGCCCCCCCATAATAAATAAAAATCAATAAAAATGCATTAGCAAACTGAGGTTCTGCCCCCCCCCCCACAAAAGGCCTGCCCCTCCTAACAAAAATCCTGGCTATGTCCATGGGCTTACCTCCAATGTTTCATTCACGTTGGCACCCTCCCATAGGAGCCAACTTCTAGCTGCTGAGGGGTCTTCACCCCCCAATAAAATATTTGAGGAGACTGGGGCCCCCAAAGTTGATGGGCATTGTCATTCAAATGGTGTGCATGCACCACGTAATGTGATCGACTATGCAGGGCAGGGTGTACCTGTGCTCCCCAAATATTTTATTCAAGTTGGCACCCGTGCACCCTCCTGACCTCCTGCTCCAGGCGGGGTGCCCCTGTTTCTCTCTGGAATTGCCAGCAGACACATCGATTGGGAGGAAGCTGGGGGGGGGGCTCCTTCCCCCTTCCTTTTGCCTTAACTGTGAAACCACAAGGGAAAGCCTCGCTTGGTTGCATTGCAGAGCAGGAAGGAAGGATGCCCCCAAGGCATAAGCTGTGCACAAGGAAGCAGGGACATGGGGGGCGGCGGGGGGGGGGGGGAGAGATGCTGCTGCTTCAGCCATTTGTTCTCTGCCTAGCCAGGCAGGAGGAAGCGCTCCTGTTGGCATCTGCACATGACATAAGGAAGAGAGAGAAGGAGGGAAGGAAGAGAGTCACTGAATGAGAAATTGCCTACAGTCCAAGCAACGCGTTGGAAACAGGCATCAACCTGCCTGTGCAATGTGCTCCGTGTTGGATTGCACTGCGTGTTCGGGCAGTTGTCACTGAGTAGCAACCGCAAGCCACGAATGTGAGAGCTGTTGCCATTGACATGAATGACACTTGTGTCCAATGAGGGTGGGGATGGGGGTGTCATAAGTGGGATGCAGTGAGAGCGGGCGAGGGTGGGAATTTCTTGAAGGAATCGTGTCAAATAGATGAGCTAGGCGTGCGAGCAAAACAACTAACTGTCCAATAATGTATCTGAAGAAGTGTGCATGCACACAAAAGCTCATACCAATAACAAACTTAGTTGGTCTCTAAGGTGCTACTGGAATAATTTTTTTTATTTTGTCCAATAAATGTAAAATGAAATGAAATACGCGGTCGGGTTGTTATTTGCATGGAACATATAATGATGTCTGTGGTTACATTATTAGCGTTTGCCAAACAGAGGACTGGAGCATATTGCTTCCTGTGCTGTGAGTGAAAGTAAATTTTTCCTGCAGTCATTTATACCCCTGTTCAGTTTTACAACAGATAAAGTAGATATTAACCTACATTTTTGTCCAATAGGTTCTGCTGCCTTTGGTTCATTAAACCTTTGTAAACTGTAAGGGATCAGTGTCATATACCAGCTATGCAGGAGATGCCATTATATTAAATGTATGATTTATTGCACATATAAAAGTAATCTGAATTCCCATTTTGAAGACTGCTGGAAGGGCTTAATTTGTAGCTAACTGTGACTGGTTCAACAGAGGTTACATTAAAATGACTTGAGTAATTTAATGCCATTCTTATTGTCACTATTAAGTGCTTGGGGTTGATTCTTCACAAAGAGGTCATTTTAATGAAATTAGTATGTCCTCAGCTGTAGGTCAAAATAGGTATAGTAGCAGAAATCCACTAACTGAAGTCAGTGGCAAACTCAACAGTAGATGAGCTTTATTTATTTCCTCATAATGAGGAAATGATTGTTTTTTGTCTGCATCTGTTGCTTTCAACCTTAATATTACAGGAATATTTATTGAGCCTTATTTTTAAAAAGCCTGCTTTTTCTGTAGCTTTATATTATAAATCATCTTAGTTAAAAGGCATAAAACAGAACTTTGAGTTTTGCAGACTCGATGAAATATTTCCTTACTGAAGATCCTCAAAGCTTACATTGGAAAATAGAATGCTAATTTGTGATATGTGAATATGAAACTTGGATATGCTAAAACATACAGCACCAATAAGATCAAGAGTTTTATTCATACATCAGGTGTAACATTAGCTATATACATCTGAAGGCCCCTGACTATTTTTCAGATATGACCCGAGGGACTATAGCAGGTTGTTTCATCTCAGTGCTAGTTTGTTGTTGATCCTCTTGAGTGAGAATGAACTATGGGATTGTTCCCATGAATGAATATACCGTGCCAAGTACTGGAGTATCATAGTAAATTTGGATGCTCATTACTGGTTACTGTTTTCTAATCTATGCAATATTTCCACTTTGCCTAACATTTGGTTTTGTATTTTTTAAAATCATTTTTAAAAAAGTCTAGTTCCAAAATTATTGAGGAAATGTTTGTATTTGTGCACGTGGGGCATACATATAACCTCCTTGAGTCCCATCTGGAGAAAAGATGTGGTATAAATAAATATATAGTAACTACTCGGTGGTTACGTGGGTGGCGCTGTGGTCTAAACCACTGAGCCTAGGGTTTGCTGATCGGAAGGTCGGCGGTTCAAATCCCTTCGACGGGGTGAGCTCCCGTTCCTTGGTCCCTGCTCCTGCCAACCTAGCAGTTCGAAAGCACATCAAAGTGCAGGAAGGTAAACGGCGTTTCCGTGCGCTGCTCTGGTTTGCCAGAAGCGGCTTAGTCATGCTGGCCACATGACCCAGAAGTTGTACACCGGCTCCCTCAGCCAATAAAGCGAGATGAACGCCGCAACCCCAGAGTTGTCCGCGACTGGACCTGATGGTCAGGGCCCCTTTACCTTTAATTACTAATACTAACACTAGCATGAAAAGTGTTTGCCATGATGATGCTGAAGACTGTGGTGATTTGATTGATGATGATATGTAGATTTAGTTCATGGTGCATTGTTGCAATTTCATTTGCTTCGTTTCAGTGCAACTTTTTTTCTTCGTTTTGCGTTGTGTTGCTTATAATATACTTGTATGAAATATCCTCCTCTTGGGAGCACCATTATTCATATCTTCAGCTGTGCTGTATAAATGAATGTGTGGGTGTTTGGCATCCTTACTAGTCTTTTGCCTCTCCCCAGTCTTAAATCTCTGGAAAGTATTGCCCGGTTGCACATTAATGGCCAGCGGTAACTCCTCAGCTGAATGATCTTTTGTACTGTCTTTGTTTATTTCTCTCCATTGAGACTGGTTGGGGCCTATTTTGTGAATCTTGACCATATGAATATAAATGACAGTTCACAGATTAAACCAGAGGGTGAGCAAAAGGTCAAGAATGATACAAATGATATGATAAATTTCACCCACAAATACTGCTGAGATCAGATTCAGAGGGTTTATATCTACCCCCCCCCCCCCCCAAAAAATGACAAGTCTCTCCAAATCCACACTGTTTGCTGGAGTACAAAGAAAATTACTAACATTTTACATTAGATTGTTGCAAGACATTTGAAAAGCTGAACAAATGAAAACACTGTGTGGACACTATGTATAAGGACTGAGGCAGCATAAAGTTTGCAATTGTTAGTATGTTGCAATAATTTCCATGGAGCAATGTTATTTAGTCTTACAGTATTTGGACACATTTGTCACATCATATAGTTTATTTTAGAAGCAGTGGTGAGTGGATACTATAATGCAGCCGCTCCCGACCTGGAGCTCTCCTCCAAATGTTGGGAAATCATAGAATCAGAGGTGGAAGGGACCCTGAGGATCATCTACTACTTCAACCTGAATATGCAGCTGTCCCATACGGGGATTGAACCTGTAACCTTGGTGTTGGCAGTACCACGCTCTAACCAGCTGAACTATCCTTTGTACTACAATCCCCATCACCCTGGCTATGCTGGCTGGAGCTGATGGGAGTCCAGCAACATCTGGAAGGGACAAAGTTGCATGCCCCCCCCCCCCCCGTTTCCCATCACAGCATTCTTCAAAGTGCTTGAGTCACTTACAGCCCAATCGGCAACCTAGTTGTGCTAAAGTACAGTATTGAATTTCAGCCTATTTAAGAACTGGTTTTCCCCCCAATAGGCCTGAAAAGGGCTTAAATCTTACTTTGGTTCCCCTGCATTGTCTTTGCATCTGACGTAGTTTCCATTGAATACTGTGGGATTACTGCAAAGTAATTAGTTTGAGAACTGTCATCTTAGCAAGTCTTGTTTTCCTTCTTTCTTGCACTTGTCATTTAAATGGTCAGTTCCCACTGTGGCTGCTCTAATTAGGAATTTAAGGGCGAGAAGGTTCAGCTCTTTTGCTGACAATTTCAATTTATCTTGAAACAGTGTTCTTCAAGTTTTCCTTCGAGGGTTGGACGACTGAGTCGGTTCCAGAAATTGAGTATCACAGCTGAAAGCCTTATTCTTAAAACTTCACGCACCATTTGTGAGCTTTCCCAGTATTGCACCTCTCTTGTCACTATGCTTATAAACTCATCTCATTAAGACAAGTTCTGTTTGAACACACCAGAGGGTTCTGCATAAGGAAACATAAATCAACAGGAAGAAAATCTTTAAAGCGGAAAGTCTTTAAAGCTATAAGCTAAAAGTAAGCAAAGTAAAAAAAAAAAAATGTACTCATCACTGTACAGGCAGCTTTTTCAAAGAAACTTAACTACTAATATATACAGGTCTTTTTAGCCCCCAAAACCTCTGAAGTATTTTTGTGAAGGCACAGTGCCCCTGTTTTAACAAAGATTTCAGATAGAAATGAACTTGCTTTGCAGAAAATGTGGGCAAGGAGTATCAAAGGGTGAGTTTACAAGTCACCTTCAGAAAATAATTCAGTGAAGCTAATGAGGTTACTCCAGACATTGGAATATTGCACCCTAATAACTTGTTTAGTTTCTGATATTGCACCTCTTTGTTTCTGATGTCATATGGGAGTCAGAATACCTTCACACACATTTTTTTTTAAATAATCCTATTTTTTTATATATATAAAAAATATCCCATGATGAAATCTATTTAGAGCAACATCTATGCACAAGGAAGTGTATGGAAGTAGCATTTATTAACATCCAAGTTGTTCTGCCCATCACATCAACACATCCTTAAATCATGAAGCAATCAGACTAAATCTGGGGGAATAAAGTAGGATGCCATAGTTGGGTTTTAGACTGATTTACATCCAGTCCTCACCCTGATTAGGAACAGTTGTCTTCCCAAGTGCATCTACTTAACGTGGCAGCTGTAATCAGCACTTTAAGCTTATCGTGTGGAGGGTCTCTGCAGCATGGGGAGCGTTATTCATGGTCTTTTGGCAGTGGTAATAATGTTAATACAGTTATTTATGCAGCATGTTTTCTAAGTGCTCAAAGCACTTTCTGTACATTATGCCTGATCCAGACTTTGTCATGCTTAGAATAAGTCCATTGAAATGAATTGGCCTTTTCTAGTACTGTTATCCCCATATTACAAATGAAGGCTGTTAGATTGAGATATCGCAGCTTACCTACGGTCAGCTATTACTCTGGGATCTTCCTGGTTCTTACCTCGTTCTCTTAATCACTATACTTCTATACAGTGGTGCCTCGCAAGACGAAAAGAATCCGTTCCGCGAGTCTCTTCGTTTTGCGGTTTTTTCGTCTTGCGAAGCAAGCCCATTAGCGGTGTAGTGGATTAGCGCTATTAGCGGCTTAGCGGATCAGCTGATAAACGGATTAGCGGATCAGCTGATAAGCAGCTTAGTGGCTTAAGGGATCAGCTGTTAAGCGGCTTAGCGGATCAGCTGATAAGCGGCTTAGCGGCTTGGGAAAAGGGGGGGGAGGAAAAAAACCCCCGCAGGAACTCGCAAGGCATTTTCGTCTTGCGAAGCAAGCCCATAGGAAATTCGTTTTGCGAAGCACCTCCAAAACGGAAAACCCTTTCGTCTAGCGGGTTTTCCGTCTTGCGAGGCATTCGTCTTGCGGGGCACCACTGTAGTTTTTGAATAAACTGACCTGATGTCTGAGATACCTTTCCCTTGGCTGGCTGAAGGAAGTGCCACTTCAAGATCATGAAAACAATCCACATAACATCAATGATCCATCGGATAAACCACTGCAGATGTAATAGCCTCCTTGTGGAGCTGCCATGGAGGCTATTCCTAATGCTTCTGTGTTCAGGCCAATAATATATACAGCCTAAAAGAGATGTAATTCTCATTTCCATGGCAGTTTCTCTTAACCCATATGTGCTTTTTAAGGAACACACTACAGTGGTACCTCTGGTTAAGTACTTAATTCGTTCCGGAGGTCCGTACTTAACCTGAAACTGTTCTTAACCTGAAGCACCACTTTAGCTAATGGGGCCTCCTGCTGCTGCCGCGCCGCCGGAGCACAATTTCTGTTCTCGTCCTGAAGCAAAGTTCTTAACCCAAAGCACTATTTCTGGGTTAGCGGAGTCTGTAACCTGAAGCGTATGTAACCTAAAGCGTATGTAACCCAAGGTACCACTATACTATAAAACAATCCCAGTCCCACACTACTTACTTTCTAGCAGTTTTCTTGACCCTCACTATAGATAAAATGTGACTTCAGGGCTTTGGAACTTTTATTACAAAACAAACTGGTGGCAATGGTCACCACTGGCTCAGTTTTTTTCATAGTATATCTGAAATTCAGAATTCTTTCTGGGCTTTCTAGAACCTGTGGGACAGTGGCAGTGTTGAACCCAATGTAATAAGTTAGGTTATGCAGCAAGATTATCTGGCATTACTGTTAAAGTAGCCATGGCAAGATCACACCACGTTAATAATACAGCAGGGGGAGGGGGGAAAGAGAGATTGAGTATCATAGAGTCTGGAATATTTTCCAAAATGACAGCTATCTTAGCAAAAGTATTGTGATGCTTTAATGACTAATGCATTTATTATAGCACAAGTTTTCATAGACTAGAATCCATCAGATGCATGAAGTGTTACCCTGTGTTGGCAGCTGCAGACAGGAAAAATGTAAACAGGTGAGGTACAATACAAACAAACCAGATTGACATTATGTTAAAGCTTAAATGCATTTGAAGTAATGACAGTAAACATTCACACACCAGTGTGGAAAATGACTTATCAATGACATGATTTTTATATTAATCAACATCTGTAATGGAATTTAAAAATCATCTTGGTTCGGGCCACAGGTGATAGAACTGAACTTCATTAGTTGTAATTCGGTGGTTTTGTGCTGGAGTCGTTCTTGGAAGTTGAAAAATATGTTATATTGGCATGTGCCACTCTGTGCATCATCACATCATCACATATTTTTTTTAGAGCTCAACACTTACTACTGCATGTAAGTGGCTATTCCAGTATCATTACCCAGTAATTACCCATAAAGTAGACATTTCCAAACAGTATTCACTAAGTTCATTTGAGCTTTTTCCTGCTTCCTCACAAAGGAAGAATTGCTGTTCAATTTCACAGGAAATTCCATGTGTCTACAGTGTATTATTCTGGAGTCCGCCTTCTTTTCATCAATGTACTTTCACACAGTCATTATAATTGATCCCCCTAGCACTTCTTCATGTTCTAACGTCAGGGAGTGATCAGAAGGATATGACAAGAGCAGTGGCAAATGGTTAGGAATGATGGAAGCTGTAGTCCAGGCATAGGCAAACTCAGTCCTCTAGATGTTTTGGGACTACAACTCCCATCATCCCTAGCTAACAGGACCAGTGGTCAGGGATGATGGGAGTTGTAGTCCCAAAACATCTGGAGGGCCGAATTTGCCTATGCCTGCTGTAGTCCAATAGCATCAAGAGGGCTATATGTTCCCCTTTACTACAATAAGGCAACAGCAAATGCAGGTGGGTATTAATCTCAATCCAGTTAAGAGCAGCACTAAAAAAGCACTTATATCTTCAGCACCTCCAACCGCCCACATAGTCCATGGCATAAGAATTCACACATATCAACAGTGGCCATGCATCCCATCTCTCACCTGGGCTTTGCCTAGAGTATCCTCAACCCTGGCTTCTCCTTCTCTCAGGGACCCTAAAAGCACCCATGCTACACCTCCCACTTCAAGCTGGGTGTTTGGCCAATGTGTTAAATACCCCAATGTGCATGCAGTCTACTCATGCAGAGTGTTTCCATGTAAGATAAGGTCCTGGTAGGCCCAGTCTTCCCCCATGGCAATGCAGGCATTCTATGCATATAGGACCGCTTTGCCCACTGGCTAAAATGCATGGCTGGCATGAGGAATTGCCAGAATGCTAGGTGGCAGAGGGGCATAGCCCCACTCTCCTATGAGGGATGCTGTATGAGCATCTCTATTGTCAGGGCTTTTTTCCAGCCAGAACTCAGTTTTGGCACCTCTCAGGTGGGTGCCGTTGCCATTATAAGAGAACAAGAGAGGCTTTTGTGGCGAGTTCCAGCACCTATTTTTCTAGAAAAATAGCACTGTGTATTGTGATTAAAAAATTATAGGGTTTTGCATCAGTATAACTAAAGGGTGTCCAAATGCCAGCTTTATGTATACAACTTCAGTACACGGGTTGTTTGCAATGCCATAAGCATGTATGGTACAGATGGTGGACTGTACTTGTTTCCTAAAAAATTGGGACAGGAGAGGTACTTGAAAAGGCTGAAACAGAACAGTAGAGAGAAGATACAATTCCCAACGTAGTTGCAAACCTAGGTATGTAATAACTACAGAAGCTATTAATATGTGAATTACTAGGAGGTAGACACCTTTAGTGCTGTTGCTGTTTAGCAGCGAGGAGCACTGATAGGAAGGCATGGGCAAAAATAGAGCATGAAAAGCAAAGGGGAGGAGATAACAGATGGAGAGACAGAGACAGAACAATAAGGGACAGGGAATAAAACAGATGAACTGAGA